CTGCTAAGTATGTGCATGTTAGGTATAAAATTTTTCCTTATTTTTTTTCTTATCTGACTACAAAAAAATTAACATCATCTCATTCGTTTTAAATGTTACAACTTTGGACTCAGATAGATTTGTATGAAAAGTTAATCTATAATCTGAAAAAAAAAAATTAATTATAATTTTGAAACTAAATGCCTTAAGATGATCATCCACTCTTGACCAAAGTCAACTGTTAACCCACTGGCGGTTAAGGAAATGGGCAAAATTGGGAGAATGTTTCTCCCCTACACACAGTTCCCCTATCAGTTAACATGGGAAAACCGGTTTTGCTATGCAGAGAAGACTGCAGGTTAAAATGCGACTTTTTACGTGCAGAACCGTCAGTGGGTTAAAAGAGTGGAGACACACAAGAAATTCTAAATATGCTTTTAATCCTTTTAATTTAATTTTCACAAAAAACTAATAATAGATATTTTCTCTATTTGGCAGTATCTTATGATACATGCAATATACAAGCCCGTCATCCAATCACAATTTGGATATAAAGCGAGTGGTATTTTTGCTTCTCTATACATTTTTTCAGACAGAATTATGCTAATACAATTCTATAATCAACAGTTTTTGATAGTAAGTTAAATAGTATACAGTTGCCTGTTCTTAGATTTTTGATAAGCATAATTAAAAGAATTTTTTAGCTTCATCCAAATCAGATATAACTGTAATAAAATTAGATTTCAAAAAATCTAAAAACTGATAAAGGTTTAGTTTTAAATTACTTACTTAAAACCACAAATTGCATAAATTTATTCTTTTAAATTTTTGAGGAAAAATATATAGAAGTTTTGAGGAAAAATATAAAAATTATCAAGCACTTTTTCTACTAATCTAATAAAGCTCCCCCTTTATTTTCTACCTTTTAGGAAAGGTATTGTGCTGTATAATAATATTATATCATCAAAAATTTGATAAGTACAAAAAGTATCAAGAAAACAATTACAAAAAGTACAAAAGTATCAAGAAATATAACTTAAAACCGTAGATGGCTCTTAATTGAAGTATTAGAGCTTTATTTAAATCTTTTGAATATATAAGTTAATGAGAAAAGAGCTGGATATGGTTAATTTTTAATACAAACTAAATGCTTACAATAATACACATTCAAAGTAACAAAATCGAATGAGCTAAAAGGGAAATTAAATAGGTGGGAACTTTTAAAAGGTTTGGATTAGCTAAGAAAATAATGTGTATTATGTAGGTGGTGGGGAATGTGATGTGCAAAAACTGTTTTAATCAGAAGGGAAGGAATATAAGGGAACAGGATTCTGAGAATGCAAAATGATTGAGAAAATTTCTGATTTACTCTTTTGTTGAAGTAAAAATTAGGAAGCTGTACTGAATTTGTAAAAGATTTAAATTCTCTTTCCTACTTGTTATGAGCACATAGTAATTATATATTTAAAATTAACTTGTTAAAGGGACTTGGAATTGAATCTGGTCATGAATTATATAGTTTTCAACTCAAACCTTTTACTCAAATTTTGTTTGAAACATAGAAAATTCTCATGATCCTAAACAAATTTCAATAATGTATAAGAAAAATTTCAAAACAACAGAATGTTTAATACAAAAATATTGCAAAATATTCTAAAATATATTATAATTTTGATGCTAAATAATCAAATTATGCGAAATTTTAAATAAACATAGAAAACTAAATATTTTCAAAATTAAAATACATAACATCAAGCTTCCCTCCTTTCGAGTGCGAGTAGACCCCCTTGAGGACTCAGCACTTTTTACTCATTACTCTTTTTTATATTCGGTCTAGTCATATTGTAAGAGCAGGCCAACACTACCATATAGTTCAATAAAGGGCTAACCATTAAATCAATGCATTTTTTTTAAAAAAAAATTCAGGGGTAATCAAATAGAAGAAGGAAGTTTTTCAACTCTTGCAGATGTTTCTAATAGTATATTAAGTACAGATCAAGCTGAGGGCAAAACAAAGAGGAAAATAAAACAAATGTGAGATCTCCATATGGAATTTTAATATGAAAAAAATCCAACAGAATTTCAATCAATGTCAAAATGTGCCATAAATCAACATGGAAAAATCAGTATATTAGAAAAGTAAATCTCTTGTACACAGCATAAAATTTTCTTTAGTACACAACACAACTTGCTGACAATTTATAATCAGGAAGCTATAACATTTCAGAATTGTAAAGACACTTCAATTTAAACGTTCTCCAATAATATGCAACAAAATGAAAATTAAGTAATATATATTTAAAATTTCGAACGTAGTTAATGAAATGATTTTTTGCAGTGAAAAATTTTAAACATTGCATGCAGACATGCATGATAAATTTGATATCTCTTAGCTATTGGGTGTTTCAATTAAGAAACTTTTGCATGCTATAATATCAATGATAGAATTTAAAGATTTTCTCAATACATTTAACATAAAGAGTAACCCTTTATAAACTTTAACTTTGGAAATTTTTTTTTTTATCACCAGTTAATATAGTCATGTATTTCATTCACAATAATTTTCTTAACTAAAAGCAAAGAATAATAATAAAAAAAAGCTAAAGTCTAATTTAAATTTATTTTGCTTCTTCAGAATTAATACCACTTCATTTATAATGAAATATCACAAACAGTATGTGAGCAATAAACTTAATGGTTTAAAAGAATTTGAACATTGTTCAAAATCTTTTAAACAAAATTCTTCTACTGTTTTTTTTTTTGTTCCTCTTTATACAGTGCAGAACCTCTTATCCGGAAAACCAGATAACCGGAATGAAATTCGGAACCGGAAACTAATTTTCTTCCATTAAAAAATTTTTTTTTCCTGCAAGATTTTGAGCCCATTTTGTTATTTAGAGCGCACGGCGAATCGAGTTGACGAAAGAACTGATTTAGAGGACGAATCTCACATAAGCACAAATAGCTTATATATGTTATTAATGTTAATAATAACATTAATAACATATATAAGCCTGTATATAATTTTTATTTCATAATTTCTTTCCTTATTTAAACTTAAGTGTATTATTATTTATCATTTTTTATTATTTCTAAAACTATTTAAAAATAATTTTTTAGTTTCGTTTTATAAACATTAAAAAACGGCATTTTGTAGCGATTAAAAAAACCCGTAAAAATCAGTTATCTGGAATCGCGATGGTCCCGATCGTTCCGGATAATCAGTTCTCTACTGTACTGTAATTTAAAAGTTAATTTTAGTGAATAATTTCCCTTTTCGAATAAGTTTGGAATGCATTGTTGTCGTCACGTCCTTGCTGTAGAGCATTAAAGCAAGGGTATGATTCTTAGTTTTCTAGTGGTGCCATTTATGCCCAATAAGTCGACTCCTGCCACACCCATTTATAGGGCGGACTCATTCACACATGTATTCATTCATCCACAGATCAGAATTTTGACCTGAACCAAAGAATGATCAATTTCCAATTCAGTACCCCCTGAGGTATAATTTGTTATGGGAATATGGAGGACTTTGTGATAAAACAGAGTTAACTTGCACCAGTCACAATTTACTACATGGGGAGTTTTCGGCTGCCAGGATTCAGACTTCCGTTCTCATGAACGTGAGTCTAGCACTCTCCCAACCAGGCTATCCCGGCCCCGGAATGCATTTTAAAATAGATATTCATAAACTTAATACTTTATTTATTTAACCCTGCATCTTTGTTGATGACTTGGCAATTACAAATAAGCAATATGAGAAGGCAAAAGTTAAAAAAAAAAAACAATAACAAAGAAATTGTATTTTCTGCCAATTGGCAAGTGTCTTACTAATTTATTTTCCATAAAAATTTTCATATTAACAAATTATTCCTCTTTGTAATGTTTAGAAATCAAACCCCTGATAGAGGGTCTTAAGTGCAATATTTTTATTATAGGTTGGTATTTATTGAACAAGAGAAAAGTTTCAAGATATTTTTTTAGGAATTGAATGCATGTCTATCTATTTTAACTTGGAATAATATGAAAAAATACTTTGAGCAAATTTTAATACGAAAAAAATTAAGCTTAGTTTCAGTTTGGTAAAATTTTGTAACCATAAAAGATTTTGAGTAAATACTTAACAGGTTAAGTAATTACTCGATCAGTTACGTTAAATTGTGATGTGGGATTTTAACTAATGTGATTGCAGTTTTGAATTGCGGAAAAGGAGTAAATAAATTATAAATTTTTTCTCAGGAATTTGAAAACCACCAACTTTCTATGAAGAGGCAGCTTCATTTTCTTTTTTAGTACTGATATAAAAAAAATTATAGCAATGGTGACAAATTTTACACAAGCAGTGCTCGCATGTTAATGCTTCGAATACACGTCTGCCATCATGGACAACAGATGGCTACCCACACCATGCTTTGTCATGAACATCAGTGAGTCAAACTCATTTTCTAGCCATTCCATTTGTACCATAAATTTTTACAAGTTGATGATAACTTACAGATGGCTCAACATTCTTTGCATTTAAAAGCTGCATTACAAAGTGCACTTCACAGTCAAAGATAGGGGCAATCATCTTATTTTTAACGCTAACAAATGTAAATGCAATGTTAGTGGATAGACAATCAACCAGAAACTTGTGTGCATGCGCAAACTGAGACACTACAGCAACAGTGCCAATAGAACAAAATAGTACCTACTTTCCAGACACGTTTCATACTTAATGCATGTATTTGAAAAAATGACTAAAAAGTAAAATTAATGCTTTTGAACTAAAATTAGGATGATGATTTTTATGATTATTAAAACCTATAAGGTCTAAAGACTCATTTTGACATGGGAAAGGAATAAAAAATATAAGCTAACTTTATTATCTCATTGTGTTTTTGTTTTATTTCTTAAGTAAAAAAGAATATATTTACTTTATAATTATATAAAATGTCCAACTTGAAATAAAATATTGCTTACTTTATGGGTTATAACCCATAGAAAATGCTTGTCTTCTTCAAAAATAAAATATTTCTAAGTCAATTCGATCATAATCATTTATTAAAGATGCAACAAATATGATGTTCAGACTTTGTAAGGACAATTAAATTTGTCTTCTTGTTAAAAAATGGTTATTTTTACATTACTAATTAAAAACAACAATAACGAATAACAAAAGGATAACATTGGTAAGTATGAAAAACAAACCTTTATTTTAATAAATTTAATTCACTATTATCAAAATTTCCATCTAAATGTCTGTTGTCTTTCAAAATAATTGTCTTTTTTGGATATCCATCAACATCTACAAATAAATATCGGTACTGGAATTTTGATTTATCATCCTACATAAGAAAAGAAATTAAGTGATTAATAACTTTAATACATCAATACATTCTATTGCAAAAAAGAAAGAAATTTTTTCTTTCAAGATATGATTGAGTTGAAAAATTTTATTGAATTGGTTGCTAGCCCAAATTCACATTAACAACTTAACCACTGGTGAAACAGAGAGGACTTAAAACGTTTTCAGAAAATTAAAGAGAAAAAAAAACTTTGTTTGCAATAATCTAGGTTGAGTCTGCCTCGTTTTAAATCCTCTCTACTATTTCATAGCTTAGATATTAAAAAAAATTATTATTCATTTCCAGCAGCCTTTATTAAAAATAATAAATACATTATTTTTGTTTACTACAAACAATTTTATCACCATTATTTCAGTTTGTTATTAAATTATTAATCTGATTTTAACAAGTAACATAATTGCAATCAAGTTTCTGTGAGGTTTGCCAATTAAATGTGTTTTAAGACTGCTTTTCAAAGGCTCAATCCTCACATGAAATCATATTTTTTCGAGAATAATATGCTCGTTTAATAATTGCTGTGAGTTTGCAATAGTTATTCATGATAATTAGGTCAAATTTAGACTATCATTAACCAGTGCCTTCAATGTTAATAATTAAAGCCACAGTTTAGTAAAAGTGAAAAGTGTTAGTGACCTTATTTTCTAATATTTCAAAACTTACTCTAATGCTAAATTATCTAGGCTTCGAAAAATTTGCAAAAATTGGGCATTATTTATTGATTTTGATAATCTTCTTCCGGGTAGACAATTTTTTTAAAAAAGTTTAATAACTTTTTAAATATTTATGCTATTTGTTCACTGTAATGCAAAAATAATTCTGTACGGCAAGATAGTATATATATAGTTTAAAATTATAGCTTTGCCTAAAGGCACTTGAACTGTGGTTTTTTTATTTTCCTTGGCAAGGGCAAAAGAGTCTCTAAAAATATTGTCATGTCTGCTAAACACTAGATTTAGCATAAAATAAAAAACAATTAAAATAAATCTAAAAATTGACATGTTTTAGAAAGAATTACATTGACTAAAAAACAGAACAGGGATGAGTGATATGGATATTTACACCCTGAAATACTGATAAAATTGAACAACTTTATTAATAATAATATACTAAATGAAATGTTAAATACCTCTATGAACTGAAATGATTTGCATTGGAAGTTGATAGAGACAAAGCTTATTTAAAATGTACAATTTGGGAAGAAAAATGACAAATGAAAGTACTTTTTAATGTAAATATTAGAAGAAACAAAAAGGCATGCGGCACAAAGGACACAGTTTAATTTCTTTTGTTTACTTGTATGTTATTTTACTGTTATGTTATTATGCTTGTTTACTGTTATTGTTAAGAGATATAACATTTTGATAGCTGCCAGTCCATAACAATAGCCACATAAAGAGTTGCCTGCACTGTTTGACAGGTGAAAGGAGTGGAGAGTTTTTATTTAAAACATAATACATTAAAAATAGTGCTCTCTTATTTGCTCATAACACTTCAAACTATATTAACTCACTTACCTCAACCATTTCTAAGTGTACAGTCCCAGTTTTTCTTGTACCTTCTACGTAGAACTTTAATCGCATATAGTTTTTTCCATCCTTTTCATATTCAAAATGGCTGCAACATTTAATACATATATAAATTACAATCAGAAGCGATATGTCAAATTTTGGCCAGGTTTAAAAAATTATAGCTAAAATTTCAAGTTGGCTTCAATGGTAATTAATATATACTAATCTCTTTAACATGACCTAAGTAAATGTAAATAAAAAAAGAATTAATATGTTACCTAACATGACGTCGTCGACCACGAGATGATAGTTCACCATAACCCTTAATTGGTTCCCCAAGTGTATCAACGACACTGGGCTCATTACGGCATAGTTTCAATGCACTACTGTACACAGAATTTGGGCTTTGACGCGAAAACAACTCTCTGAAAATGGCATAGAACATAATGCCTGAAAGTATTAAAAGCATTAAATACACTTTGCATTAAAAAAACAAATAACAAAATAGAGTAAAAAAAAGTCATACATTTTCTTCTATAAAATTAAAACATTAAAATGATATATTTTTCAATAAATCCACACATTACAGATTTTAGCAAAATCAGTAACTGGGTTTCAATTAAGTACATACAATAAAAATCCCCATAGAAACAAATTATGAATGTTAAGAGGACCTAGTTTTGGCTTTGAATAGTAAAACACAAGAGCTTTAATCACATTTACTTATTAAACACAGCCTATACTCTTTAGTATGACCCTTTCAATATAATAACCCATACATTAAGTCCCATTTGCTGTTCCATAGAAGTGTTGTTATTTTTTTATCTCCATTAGAATGCCCAAACTGAACCATTTATTCCAATGGAACAAACAAAACTTCCCTTTTTGTCATTCAAAGAAAAACTAAACTCAGTGGTGCAACAGCCCATAGAGGGCCAGGGCCTACTGTGCCCATCTCAGTTTTCTTGACATTGGGCACTGGGGTGCAGGAGCAGATGTTCCAGTCAGGTGGCCAGCCGAACGCGGAACCCCCTAGTGTTTAGTTCTAAAGCATGCTGGTACTCATTTATCGACCCACTAAAGGGATGAAAGGTTGAGTCAACCTTGCCCGGCCCGAGGATCGAACCCAGGACCTGTGGGGCGGGAGTGTGAAGCGCTACCACTCAGCAATCGGGCGTCATTCAAAGAAAATTAATCCAAAAACAGATGCATTTTTAAGTTTTTAAAACAAGCACTTTCTTATTGACAATGAATCAATGGACAGCATAAGTCTCAAGGAAATGACTCGAATGACTATTTCTTTCTATGTTACTGTTCAACAAATATGAAACATTTACAATTTTCCATGAATGATGAAAGAGTGATTGGACCATTTATATGAGACACGTTTGAAAAGTAAGCACCATTTCATTCTACCAACACTGCAGCTGTAGTGTCACAGTTCTGTGCATGCATATACATGCAAATGGTTAATTGTTTGTCCATTACAGCAGGATTCTGTTGTGTTTACCCATGTTAGTGAGAGCTCAGATTGTTTACCTTGATTGCAGATTTTGCTGACAGCAAAGAATGTTATTTAACATGGTCCTATGAAAAACTTGAAATTAAAGAGATGGTGAAATATCAATTACTTTTCTTTTTTGAGAATTAGAAGTATTGTATCTTATATCTTTGTGTGGAAATCGAAGTATCTTAGATGTATTTAAAACTTTTGCAAATTTCCTTATAAAGGGTTCAATAAATTCATTAATTATATTGTTCTTTTTGAAAACTTTATTCACTCTTTACAAGAATTCTTATAGTAGGTGGTTTATTTTGGAGTTAGAACTCATAGTATTCATGCACATCCTGATTTTAGTTTTGCTAAGACTTTGAAATACTCTATAATATGTTATGTTATTTAGAGATAATGGCTGCTCGAAATCATCAAAACAAAACCTTAAATTATAACATCCATTTTCATTTAGACCACAGGGATTGTTACATCTAGCTAGGATAGCATAAATATATAAAATATACAAAATAATACAAAGAAAAAAATCTGTGCAAACAATTCAAAAGTATCTACAAACTCATTGTTCCTTGAAAACGGATGTTTTTTTCCCCAAAAGCATTAAAAAATTTTCAAACTATGTTGCCACTATAAAGGGCCTTTAGATTGCCATCTTCACTTATATAAGAAATTGATTATTTAGTATAAAATTCCTCAATAAAGCTGCATTTTAGAGCTGCATTTTTTTAAAGCTGCATTTTTTTACAAGAAATGTAATTACATTTATTCCAACTATGCTAAGTTATCCCATTTTACATGATCTTGTTTTATGACTGTTATTGCAACATATTCCTTGATTTTTAAAATTGTTAATTTGTCTTCAATTTTATTACACCAAAAAATTTCGATTATTGTGTATTATAGCATTAACTTTTTAATACTTTCGTGCCACACTGCTGGCTCCTTTGCAATGCATTTCACATACTTTTTTGCTCATTTATTAGCCGTCATTGTTAAGGAATCATATAAGATACTAGAAATTCCATTATTTTTCTTATTATGATGTGCTAATTTTCGCTTGAGTAATCACTTTTTTTGCACCAATTCGTGCTTGATCATTAATAAATTTTTCCCGCAGTAATCACAATTTTTACAGTGTTTAAAATATCGTTTTTAATTCAATTTTATTATGACATACTAATTTATTATAGTATATATAATATTAAGTACCGTAATTTCGCGGAGAAACGCCACCCTGGTATACACGCCGCGCCCTCAAAAATTGGCAAAAATAAAAAATTCGTCGGACACGCCGCGCCGGATTATACTATATCAAAGCAGGTATTGATTACAGACTTAAAACATGTTCTATATACGCATATATATATATATAACTTAAATAGTTAAATAAGAAACCAATAAAAGGATATTAAATACACAAAAAAATTAAACGATACTACTAAAATGGATTTCAATAACATTCTAAGTAAATATTAAGCATTTTCTAATTTTAATTTGAAGTAACCATTAAAATATGAATTAAATAATCAATGTAACAAAAAGCATTAAAATAAGTATTAAAATTTTTAAAAATAAAACGATCTTACCTCTAAATCAGCATTAAACGATAAGTCCAAACAAATTTTGTGCAAAGAAAAACTAACATTTATTCATATAGCACATATCCAGATATCAAATATAATCACATATAAATCCAGCGGTTAAAAACCTTCAAAATCTGAGCTCTCAGTATCGGAGCAAAATAAGTTCATTAGTTCATTGTTTATTTCCGGGTCATCCCCGTCACTAGCACTTTCATCACTTTCGGTTTCATTTCCCCCTGATACGAGTTCGGCTTTCTTGAAACCGTTTATTACGGTTTCCTTTTTCACAGCTTTCCACGCTTGCAACACCCATGCGGCGACCTCATCATAATTTGCCCGCTGCATGCGTCCAGATTTAGTATAGGAGTGGATGCCGAGCTCCATCCAGTTTTCCCACAGCCGCCTCACTTCTTGTTTGAAAATCCCGTTCATAGTGAGGTCAAGAGGTTGCAGCACCTTTGTTAGGCCGCCAGGGTTAATAGCAAGTTCCGTGGACAATTGTTTTTTGCACAAATCTTTGATAGAGCCCACTTTATGGGAACGTAGCGAGTCAAGGATTAATAATCTGCGTGGCTGGAAAAAAGCACCTTTCCTCCTCCAATATACCAAATCCAGCCACTGCAGCATCATATCCTCGCACATCCACCCCTTTTCGTTGGCTCTAATTATCACCTCTTGAGGAAAATTACCCTTTGGTATTGTTTTCCTTTTGAAGATCAACAACGGGGGAAGCTTCTCCCCCGTTGCGGAACACCCAAGCACACAGGTGAAGGACATTTTTTTGTGGCCAGGGGTTACTATGGCCACGGACTTAGTTCCTGTTTCTTCCACAGTCTTGTTTGGAAGGCAGTCAAAGGAAAGCGGAACCTCATCCATATTTATCAATTGTCTGTGATTAAGTCCACGTTCCTCCATCTTTTTCGATACAAAAGTTAAAAAAGAAGCCTTTTTTTCAATCCAATCAATAGGCAATCGTTGACCTACTGTTGTTTTTTTCCTCACTGACAAGTTCTTTCTCTTCATGAATCGGAAGCACCAATTCGGGCCTCCTTTAAAATCTGGAATTCCCATCTGTGAAGCAATTAATTTCGCTTGCATGCGAATTCAAACAGTAGAGAGGGGCAACCCTTTGGCTCTCTGCTCCTTTACCCATGCCGCCAGGTTATCCTCCAGCACTGGCCACCCAACAGCGCCGAGCACGCTTAGTTTTGGGCAGAGTAGCCAAGACACCCTTTTCAGACTTCCACCTTCGTATGCTCCGTTCATCTACATCAAATTCTCGAGCAGCCCGATTTCCAATTTCTTCAGCTCTTTTAATTGCTGAAAGTTTAAATGCAGCCGTATAACTTTTCCTCTTAATGGGAGGCATTTGAAATATATAACTTAAAAACAAGTTATGTTGAAATTTAAATAAAACAAAATAACAAAAAAATTAATGAGACAAAAATATTAACGGAACAAAATATTAACGACAAAAAATATTAACTAAACAAAAACGCAACAGAAGATCAAATTGAAGATTAAACAATAAAAAAAAAAGCTAAGGAAGAAGATGATCGAACACTTAAGGAAGAAATACGAGCAATGAAAAAAAAATCCAAGAAAAAGCGCTCCCCTCCCAAACATTTAAAACATGTTTCTATCTTCCCCTACTTTCTTTTCTCAAATGAGACTTCAGAAAACAGCTCTTTTTTATTTACTGACTCTGCCTAGGAGGGTGTAAAATTCTCCCACATTGCTTCTTCCTTTCTTCCCTGACCTTGAGTTGAAAGTTAGAAATTCTTCTTGAATTGTAAGAATATTCAAGGTTATCTCAAGCTCATTGGCACCATTCATTCACATGTTTTTAACAAACAGCTGAAAAAAGGGGAGTGGATACTTACTGATGAAACCATAACAAGTGGAAGAGACATATTTCCTGGAAAAAAACAGGGAGGGTTAGCTTTTGTTTCACAGTGAATGTCATCACTGGCACCACCCTGATTTTCCTTATTCATTCCTTTCTGATTTATGCTTCACTACTCCACGCCTGTCCCCTGCACTCAACTGCTGTTTCTATGGCAAAAGGGAAAGAGAAACTTTTGTTCTCTTGCAGATAGCGGTTTCCAGAAAGTGATTCTAAGAAACATGGGGGAGGAGGAAATTCCAGGTGCGTTGACCATTCTTTGGAGTAACATTAAAGATGAAAAAATAAATAAAAAGCATAAGTAACAGGTGGAAAAAATTATGATGAAATTTCCAGTGGGGTTTCTATAAGGCAAAATTTTCTAAAATAATGCTATATGAAAAAAAAAGTAATGCTATATAGGCCGCCCCGTCAGATACGCCTTTTTATTAAATTTTCAAGTTTTAAATAACGCCGCGGCCTGTCTCCGCGAAATTACGGTACATATTACATATAGTGTTAATATTAGTTTATTTTTACAAGGTTGATTTGTGTCGATTCATGGTCTTGTTTATTGCCTTTTTGACAGTTATTGCTAACTTTCTTATACAGTTTTTAATGTCATATAATTTTTAATTTGCTTTTATTGCAAATTTCAATTTCTGAGCTAGAAAAATTCCATTGTAAATCTGTTGGTTTTTTTTCCATGCTCAATTCAAACAAATTCCATCGTAAATCCACAGTCTTGTTGACCAGTTAGTGGTTTGAACTTGTACACGGATTTTAAAATCCCGAATTTTATAATACAATATTTTCCTAAAATGATATAACTTGCATTTGAGTAATATTATGATATAACTAGCATTTGAGTAATAAAAAATCAGGAAGGAAATATTTAATGAACAGATTTCCAAAATGCAGCAGATTTTAGCCTGGGTGTGGAAAGATGCAAATAATGGCGATAAGTTCCTGTAAGAGTTGGCAGCTATGGTATTGGATTAATTTATCAAATAACTGCCAAAAAATAATTGATGAAAGGAGTATAATCAAGCGATTTTATTTAACGTTTAACATAAAAGTTTTAGTCACAATTTACAGAATTAAATTAAAATTAGATTTTAAAAACCTTTTAAGGAAAAAAAAAAGCTTAAAAAAAATTGCTAGAACAATAATAACAGAGACTAAAATAACTACCAGTTACACCAACACCAGCAATGATTATTCCAAGATAGCCAGCATCTTTTGTGGTCTGTTTCACTAGAAAAAGATAGATAAATCTATATATGTTATAATTGAAAATTACTTACATGAAAACAATACAAAAAGAAACAATTGCAAGTTTCAGTACAAAAAAATTTAAAACATGGTATTGATGCAGTGATAGTTAATGCCTGCCAAATGGATTTGGAAAACTTATAGCTTTGGCTTATGTACAAGGTAAAGATGCTTCAAGTTGAATACTGATGAACAGAATCCACCTTGTGTTAACAAAGTGCATTAAACACTAAGATTTCTGTAAATGCCAAGAACACAGTTTAAACCAAATTTATTAAAAGTATAATTTGCATAATATAGTTGCCATTTCATGTTTTTGAACATAAACTATTGCTCAGAAAAAATAGCTTGGTAGCCAACTTCTTTACTTTTTCAGGCAAAGATAATTTATATTAAAATAACTATCAATATATATTTGCTTAAAAAATAAGTTTTCGTATTTTATAAAAATTTTTATGCTATGTAAGTTTTTGCTTTCTTCTGCAGAAATTTTAAGTAAAAAAAAATTAAAATTAATAGAAGTTTTAACGAAATAAAAATCTGTTTAAAAACTATACATTTTGATAACCTGCTACTCTAAAAATATTTTGAGGTCTAACACATTTTCTAAGTTAATCATAAATTATTCTTGTTTGAAATTCGTGTGGATAGATAACTGAGCTTAAACAATAACAAGCTTCTTAAAACTAGAAAAAAAAATCAAGAAAACACCTAGCCTATTCCATTGCTTGTGTTGTGCTTATCAGGCATAAAGTAAACAGTTTTGATATTCCAGAAAATTTTATTATTGAGATTAGAATTTAATTCCCCCCTCAGTAATACTATTCAAAACATTTTCTCAAGGATTACGTATTTCATCAGGTTGCAAACATGAATTGAACAGAAAATATTGGAAATAATCAATAAATAAAGTGAATGATTTGATATTTTCTTAGAACAATGAGCATAGCCAAATTTTTCAACAAAAAATAAGAACCTTTTAAATAGTTTAAATATACATATATAATTAGAATATATATATATAGAGAATATATATATATATATAAAAATACAGACAGATATACAGTTGAGAGCCAATTATCCGGAATGCTCTGAACCATCACTATCTTGGATGTCTGAATATCTGCTTTTTTTTGGATTTGCCAAAAAGGGGCGTTTATCGATATTTTATCAAACCCAAATTACAAACTAAAAGAGTAACACATTAAAAAATAATAAGAAAAAAAAGAAGATAAGATCTCCTAAATTTTAAAAAAAAAGGTAGAAAAATAACTTTTTAGAGAATAAAAACATTTACAAGTTCAGACAAGAAAATCAAGTATAAAAAATAAAAAATTCACACATTTATTATGTGAAGATTTATTTAAAATCATCAATTTAACTAATATAAAACAAACCAATGATAAAAAAGGCAATATATTTCATATCTAATTATAAGAAAAAAAAGAAAACTATAAAATACAAGGAAAATTTAATAATCAAATTAAATAAAAACAACACTTGAAAATTACCAAATGGAAACAATAGTTGAAAAGGCGCCAACACAAATATTAAAACTCTGGACAAGGCAGGGTAATATAAAATCAACTGAATTAAAAAAAAACTTAATCTTAAAATTTCTGAATAAAAAGAACTAAAACACAGTGGTATCACAAATGTATCACTTTTTAAAGAATAAAGCCGAAATCTGCTTCATAAAATAATCATCTGCTATTTGTAATAAATAATTGTATGCTTAGATTAATAAACAATCTTTTTCTTAGATTTTTTTTATAAAATCAGACGATTTTTAACAAAAGCAGATGTAATTCCACACCAAGCAAAACTTGCGAATGAAAAAGAATCAGAATTTATTCAATTGAAAAATACTGTTTTGTTAATCAATGTCAAATAGATAAATATAACAGAGGATAAAAAAACAAAACATTTTGTGTGTAATAATTAATCGCAATAACAATGTATTATCTGAAATTATAAAACAATTTCTCATAATAAATCAAGGATAACAAAAATTGAGTATCTAAAGCGGATTAAAAAAAATCTAACATGTCAATACTCTTGAGGCAGAAGTTTCAAGTTCCTTAACTCGGACATCTAATTGACAACACTCAGAAATAATTAAGAATAATAGAAGAATCTTGGAGATGCAATTTATGATGGTTGGTTCGGAAATTTAAAAAAAAAAAAAATCTCCCATTGCGCAAGTGCAAATTACGGCATTACGAAAAACGGAAGAGTGAAATCCAGCAATTTGAATTGAGCGTCGAATTCTGTGACAAAGATAATTCCTGGTTTTTGGGGTATAATTGCATTTTCCTCTGACAATTCACTGACTTTTTTTCTGAATTTTGTTTTCTCTGATGATTCCTCAGACTTACCAATCTGTCATTTTACTTTCAGATGATATTGTTGTTAAATTTCTGAATTAATAAATGTTATTTATAAAAGCATATTCAACAAAACATTAACAGGATTGATATTATTGATCATACCAAAATTTATAAATATAGGCAAATAATTAAGCAAATTAAGAAAACTTTAATTAAGTTATATTAAAAACGTTAATTAGTGACTGCCCCCGAATAATTTTTTATTAAAATTTGCTATTTGGTTTAATATTTCTTTAATGAAATGATTAAAAAAAATTAAATAATTTTGAAATGCAAATACAATGAGAATTGAAGCTAAACATTTTTGTCAGAAAGAAATTATTAGATGGTCTCTACACTCATAATATTTAACAAATCTGAGATAATTAAACACTTTAGTTCAATTGTTTTAAAATCAAATGATTAAGAGATGAATTAAAGTATTTTGTAAAGATTTGAAATACAGATACTTCATATTTTTTTAAAATCTTGTCCTTAAATATTATTAAGTTTTCTCCTGAAACAAATTAAGAGCACTGAAAATTTCAAAGGTATAATACAATGGTAATAAGTTTAAAAAAAAAAAAAAAAAAAAAAAAAAAAAAAAAAAAAAAAAAATACAATAAAAGTTTTAAAAAAGTGAACGGTTCATAAGGTAAAAAATTTAAAGCTTAAAAATCTAAATTAATTCTTATCTTTATTAAATTAAATGAATAAAAGGGAGGTGAAAATTTTGAGGTGATAGAGCTCTGTGATTCTTGACTGCTCAGAGGATCGACATAAAAATATGTACTTAGTGAATGGTCCTCAAGCCAAATTCAAAAATTATGGTACTATTCTATAAATAGTATAGTGAGCCGTTAGCTTGCCATTGATGAAGACGCTTCACCATCAATGAAATTAACAAGAGAAATAAAATTTTCTTTTGCTATTAAAATTTTACAATGTTTAGTTGGTCCCCGTGATAAGCGAAAATTCGATAGATTTTTCGGTTAAATTTAAGAGGGTGGAAAGCGAAGCCTGTAAATGAGAATATATTGCAAAATGCAGCTGAGTTGCACATGAGAGTACTAGAATCCCTCCCACTGAATATAGTTCAGTATAATGATCAGCGTTTTCATATGCTACAGACCGACCATAAGCAGAAATGGATTGTGGTTGAATGAATAGTGAAAACGTTAAATAGAACAATGTGAAACCATGCTTTTTGCATAATTCATGGCGAAAATCAACATGGTAAAGAAAATATATCTCATTTTCGAAAAGGAAAAATTAATTTCTTTTTAAAAACACCAAATGAAAAAAGCTCCTTTAAGGGCTTTTAAAAAATAAAAATTGAAAATAAGTACTTCTTAATAACACTACACATCCCGTATCACAAAATTGTTATTTATATTAATACAGATTTTGATTCTGATTAATTGTAGTCAGGGGTCTGTCTAGTTTTTTTTTGAGAGGTACCTATGTTGTGAAAATTTAGACATAATTTGTGAAATTTAAAAAATCAACACAAAAATATGGTAAAATAAGAAAATATTTAAATATTTTTCGAAATTATGTTAAAAGTATTTTGTGAAACTACCATTTTTCCTAAAATTGAATTTGCGAAAGTACTGCTTAAGGGCAGTAAATTTACCCTGGACAAACCACTGGTAGTGAAACCTATATCTGTGCATTTCGGTCTCATTAAACCTCTGCTCCATTTTCGTAACTACTCTACCTTCAACTGAAATAGATTTTAAAAATTCCTTTAATATAAAGCGTCTAGATCAATGCATTTCATTTTAATCATACTAAAGTATTAATATATATAGTCTTAAATGAAATCAAACGTTTAATTCACTTATTCAGAAGCCACTGTTTTAATTTCTAAAGCATCTTAAAAAAAAAAAAAAAACAAGAAAAAAAAGCTACAAATTATTCATATATAAAAAAATAAATTCTACAAGTCAAATATTGTAATTGACCGAAAGATATTTGAAATGGGGTTCATGTTTATGCTTATATATCAACTATTAACACTGACTCCTGTATTATCTGCACCGATTTTGTCATTTATGTTTAGTTCTGATGAGATATTTGTAACGTGGACTACCTCTTAGTTTTTATGGTGAGCTTAAAATTTTTATTAATTTAATCATTATTATTTTTGATATACAAAATAAGTAAAAGCTATATTTACCTTTCTCTGCAACAGTAATTTGGCCATGTTCATTTTCTTTATGACTAGTAATTGCATTATCATGGTTATCATTGCTACTTTTCCACCTGTAATGAACATAAAATGACAGGGGTTTCATATATACGACAGATTCTTTGGGAGGATGACGGTTAGATGAACATGCTAAAGTTCTCAGTGTAAAAGGTCTTGAACTTGTAGGCATAAAATTCAATCGAGATAACATTTCTAGAAAAGAAAAATTAACAGTTTTACATCAAAAATGTATTCAACAATAATATGATAAATAACAATAATGATAAATTTCAAAATAGTCAGACAAATTATTAAGGCAGGATAAAAACCCAAAGCTTGATTAATGGTCCCAGAATATGTAGAAATTAGGCTAATAAATAAACATTTTATAAAACAAACCTCTGATAAAGCATTAATCATATGGATAAGTTCAAAGGAAAACTTATCTCAGTATTTCTCTTTTTTTTTCTAAAAAGAAAAAAAAAAAAAACATTACAAAAATAAAACTGTTTGTTGTACAGGAAAGGACACAGCATTAACATTTTAATTTCATAATAAATTTAATTCTTCTTCCTCATAATCAGAAATACATTATAGAGGTCTTCAAAGATTATGCCAAATTAAGAGCAAAACAAACCCAAAATTTTATTTTAATGCCCAAACTGAGTAATCAACTACACATATAACAAAAAGTTACAGTAAATGAATGAATTGATATTTAAAGCTTAATCAATTAGTTTAGATGTTCATTAATAACTGAGATATTAAATTAATTATATTAATTTAAATAATTAAAATATATTTCAATGATTACAATTTAGTTATGATTATTAATAAATGTATAATGACTAAATAAAACAGACTAAAATAAAACAATTTATGATTCAATGAAAAACTTTACACCATTACTATACAAGCAAGAAAAATGTTATCTTAATATGATTTTATCATCAAGAAAATTTGCGAATACAAATTGATGTCCCTTTTCAAATATGCCATCAAGCAATATTGGAGCTCAATATAATGCAGAAGTGTTTAATCATTTTAGAAAAATAAATAAATTAAACATTAACTAGAGCTATGGCATAACAATTTAGGCAGCTTACTCATCTTTTCTGTAAGCACTTTCACTTCATTGGGTATCAACTTAAAATAGTTACATTCATCAAACAGGTAATAACAACTTTTTCTATAGTTTATGAAAAAGATTTTAAAAAAATATCATACGTTCATCAGTTTTAGTTTCTATTGCTGTCTTTAAATTAAAAAACCACAGAAATATAATTGCAAACTACAAATACGCTTTTAATAAAAATCATTATCAGCAAATTGCTATTAAACATGTTAACAAAAGAGAAATGATTCAATATACAAAATTTTGTGATATTTCTAAATTGACTTCAGTGAATTGAGTCTTAACCATTCAAAATTGAAGGCCTGATTCACATCTGATGTAGGCTCCCGAATCGGCAATGACTGGGAATAAAGAAAGGAAGAAAAAGCAAACCAGTTACTCCAAACCTGAATTGTGCAGTATCTGAGAATATTTAATTACTTAAAAGAAACATTATGTTATTTATATAATCAATTATTACATTGATGCATATTTTATACATCTATCAATGAACCCACAATTGGTATGAAATATACATCAATGTAATACTTTAATTCACATAAGATTAAATTTACCTAAAGAAGTAAAACGAGTCAGAAACAACAATTTTATATCTAGATTTAAACTTAGTTCTTTTAGATCAGTAGTACTTATATGATTAGTACCGACGGACCTAATCAATAACCTTAAAATTTCTTTTCTATTTTACATATTAAAACAGGATTGTACAAAATTAAGAAGTTAAATCTAAAATTTTAAGTATTCATGTTTATATTCATTTTAAACTTACGCTTCCGGTTGACTATTTCTTTCGTTTCGAGATAACGGAAATCTATAGATCACTGCCAACCAAAAACAATCAGAGCTGTTAAGAGTTTATTCAGACTGATATTGCAAAAGAAGACGCACCCTCTGTTTTACATTAATTGCTAATCTAACCTTTGAAAAAGTTTAAATACTGCAAAATTTATTGATGTTTTCAGCATTCACGATCGCAACGCTTGAAAACGCTCTCTAGCGGGGACTTTCTTTTCAGGCTTTTATTTACTAAGTTCTCATTTAGTTCTACGAGAATCATTGGTAGAGAAGAACGCTCTTTTAGGAGCAAATAAGAAGCACAATTTCCCCAAGGAAAATGTAGAAGAATTTAAAAGACGATCAAGAACATTGGTAAATGATTTGGAAACAAAGCGCATCCAACATTTGAAGAACAATTTCTCAATAATTTTTCCCTTTCCATTATCAACAAACTTGTAACCTATAATTTCCGATTTCGTGATCGCATACTGTTAAAGATGTGTGTATTAAGGTAAAATACATTTGTTCTGTCTTCAATTCATTATAAATTAAAAAGAAATTATTTCATTCCACATCGCTAACTTCATTCCAATAAATAAATGTGATTTCAGAATGTGCAGAAATGTAACAGTTATAGAATATTCTTCTTCTTTATAGAATAGTATATATTTCTGTATTTATATAATACGGAGAACAACAATGAAGAATTATCCGAATTACTTGAAATAGTATCATTTGCGTTGATTGTTAATAAATTTTTATCGTTTGCTTTGTAAGTATATTTTAATTTTGAATGCTTAATTTCAACCAGAATTCAGCTATTCTGTTTTTAAGTTAAATAAGTTCATTGCTTTTAAGTTGATAAAATTCATATCGAGATCTTACTATCATAAAATTTTATTGCGTGGTATTCCATCTTAAATTAATGAAGAGATAATCTACGTATAAATTATTTGAGAATAAAATTCTCAAACGAAGAACATTTCAATTTGGAATTCTTCGGATTCATGAAGCAGGTAAGTGTTATGATTTATATAATAATAAGAAATTTACTTGCGAGTAATTTTTGTCTAATTAGATGATAATTCTCAACAGAATGATTATCTACGTCTGATTAAGAGCTTTAAGACTGAAAAAACAGAAACAATATGAAAATATTTTATTTCAATGTAAGAAATTTCTGGTATCGTTTTTTGCTTTAAAGCATTCTTTATTTTAGTTTTTTTTTAGTTTAAAAATAATTTTTTTTTATTGAAACTTTAAATTTTTTGATGAAAATCATTGTCAAAAAACTGTTTTTGCAAAATTAAATGTTTTAACATTATGCGTTTCCGTATACTTTTTGCATATTTTAATGTTTGAAGTAAGGTGATTCAGAAAAGTTTGGGATACAAAGTTTAAACAGACCTTTTATATTAGATCATTAAATTTAATAGAACGCTTGCAAAAGAAAGAATATCAAACATTTTTCTGTTTAAAATTTAATAAGACACAATAAGGAAGGAACGTTACCATGCTGCACAGAAGAAATCTCCAGTGCAACTGATGGTCGAGTTGTTCTGCTAGCAGTCCCTTGTCTCAAATAACAACGCCCGCTATAAGTTGTTGCGTTCGCGAATGTTATTTTTAATTTTTAGTTTAAAAATTAAATTAAATTTTTTTCGGCCTTTTTTTTATTTATAATTTATTTTATTTTGATTTTTTTTAACATTTTAAACTCCATGTCTCTTTGGGCCCTGTATAAGTAAATTCCTATTTTAATTTATATATATGTCAAACAGTATTCGCGAATGCAATGACCTATAGGAGGCGTTGTCATTTGAGACGAATGAATGCTAGTAGAACAACACGATCATCAGTTGCAATGGAGATTTCTTCAGTGTAGCAAGGTAACGTTTCTTCTTTATTGTGGCTTATTAAATTTAAAAAAGAAAACTGCTTTATATTCTTTCTTATACAAGCGAACACAAAATAGAATCACTTTTTAGAGAAGGAACATCCAATACATATAGGAAAAATATTTGTAAGTAAGCAGAAAAAAAATATGTCTCTTCTTATTACAGTTAAAACCTAATGCCTGCGAAATCGTTCTATCAAATTTAATGGTCTAATATGAAAGGCCTATTTAAACTTTACATTCCATACCTTGCTGAATCATATTACTTCAAACATTTAAGTATGCAAAAAGTATATGGAAACACATAATGTTAAAATTAAAGTGACAATAATTTTTATTGAAATGACAATAATTTTTATTAAGAAATTTAAAGTTTCAATAAAAAATCATTATTTATAAACTAAAAAAAATAAAAAATAAAATAAAGATTGCTTACGATAAAAGAAAAAAAAAATGATTCCAAAAATTCCTTATATGGGAATAAAAAATTTCTTTCTTTCTTTTTTTTCTTTTAAAGTTCTTAATCAGACGCAGAAAATCATTCAATTGACAATTATCATCAAATTAGACAAAAGTTATTTACAAGTAAATTTTTTATTATTAAATAAATCATAACACTTACCTGCTTCATAAATCCGAAGAATTCCATATTGAAATGTTCTTCGTTTGAAAATTTTATTCTCAAATAATACAGACATAGATTATCTTTTCATTAATTTAAGATGACATACCACACAAAATTTTTTCTATAATTGTAAGATCTCATTATTGTAAGATCTTATAATTGTAAGATTTATAAGCTAAAAAGCGTAAAATAAAGAATATTTACGATGAAAAATAACGATTATAAAAATTCTTCATATTGAAATAAAATCATTTTCAGTCTTGAAGTTTTTAATCAGATGTAGAAAACCATTCTGTAGAGAACTCTCATCAAATTAGAAAAACTTCATTTACAAGAAAATTTCGTATTATAAAAATCATAACACTTGCCTGCTTTATAAATCCGGAGAATTTCGAAATGAAATGTTCTTCGTTTGAAAAATTTATTCTCAAATAATATAAACATAGATTATCCCACCAATACCTTAAGATGACATATATACCACGCAATAAAATTTCTTAATTGAAAGATCTCGATATGAATATCAATATGTTACTTAAAAACAGAGAAGCTGAATTCTAGTTGAAATAGATCATTCAAAATTAAAAAATACTTGCTAAGAAGGCGATAAAAATTTATTAATAATTAACAAAAATTATACTATTTCAAATAATTCAGATGATCATTTATTGTTGTTTTCGGAATTATATAGATACAGAAAGTATATACTATTCTGTAAAGAAGTATATATCTAGTACTGCCCTACACGTTCTGAAATCACATTTATTCATTGGAATGAAATAAGCAATGGGGAAGTAAATAACTTCACTTTAATTTATAATGGATTGAAAAAAAAAATGTATTTTACCGTAATATAAACATCTGTTACTGTATGCGATCATGAAATTGGAAAGTATTGGTTTTTAGTTTGTTGATATTAGAAAGGTAAAAATTATGGAAAAATTGTTCTTCAAATGTTGGGCTCGTTCTGTTTCTGAGAGATTTACCAATGTTCTGGATCGTTTTTTTTTTCAAGTTCTTCTGCCCTTTCCTTATAAAAATTTGCTTTTCATTTGTTGCTGGAAAAAAAAGCGATGAGCTCTACCGATGATTTTGATAGATTTAAATGCAAACATAATAAATTGTAGCCTGATAATTTCCATCCCACTAGAGGGCGTATTAAAGTGTTGCGATTGTGAATAACTCATTTTGAGGGCCTTTATATGCGTTTGAAAAGAAATAAATACACAGATTCTATTAATTGTATCTGTGGGGAGGATAAGAAAAAGGCGAGAATTTGAATGTTAATAATAATAAAATAGATTACTCTTCTTTTCAGTTTTTTTTTACTATTTCTATATTAAAAGAGACGAGACCTCTGAATTTTTAACACAAATGTTTTTTTTTGAAAAAAATACCTCTCTTAGCGTAAACTTTACAACGATAATTAAAAAGTGCTTCGTAAGCCCGTTTTGCTATTCGCGATAGCAACGCTCAAATACGTCATCTTGGGAGAAAATCGGTTTCATCGCTTGACCCTTCCCCCTCCTCCTTTTATCAGTTGCATAGGAATATACTATAATATTTTCCTCTTTCTTAATATTTTTCGTATTCAATTATTTCAAATATTTTTTTGAAAATTTCCACGACGCTTTCTTTTGGAACTATGTTCGATGTACTTTTCAGTTCTATATTGTTTCCTAACTTAAAAGTTTTTAATCTATTTGGAAATAAAAACAGAAGCTAAAGTCACTCCTTCGTCTATGACTCTCCACACGTGAATGGTGAAAGCATGCGAAGTGTTGCCATAAGTAGAGAGTTCTGCTCTATGCCTCCTGTAGCCCATTTCGATTGCCAATAATTTTAAAATCAGGCTACATGGGGCACGGGCGTGTGACTTCACCAGCTTTCTTTACAATCAATTAGGTGGCAAGCTCAGTAATAAAAGTATATCGGATGTTGATGTCTTCTTTGAAAAAAATAGGAACAAATTAAGCATTTTTTTTAAATTTAAAAAAAAATATTATTAAATGTCGATTTTCATGTAGAGCATAGTTTTAACAAACTACTAAGCAAGTTTCGGATAAGTGTGATATTCTTTATATGAAAAAAAAAAAAATGATGATTTTTATGGGTTAGTAAGTGAACTCTGTCTCTATTTCCAGATGTTGTTTATTATGATAAAGAAATAGTTGTATATTTTTTACTTTAGATGTTAATTTAGTAGATTAAATATTACACCTGCATCATAAACAGAGCAGAATAAGAACCATTTTTTTTTTTATTGTGCGTTAAAATTACTTTGTCTTTGTTGAAAAACTCTGGGTGGCAGAGTTTCGAATGTAAGGTATTTGATGATATTTTTACAAAAACGCATTGCTCTTATGGTATTTTGTTTAATAAGAGTCAAATTTATTTATTTTCATGTATTTGTACCAAATTTTTTGAAATGTTTAAGTCAGTTTTTGATAACATACGTGTCAAA